CTATTAAATGAGATTCATTTTTAAATTTAGATGCTGATGCTGTTAAATAATAATAATATGATTATTTTAGTGTGATATGAGGTAATCAGATTATATATATATATATATATATATATATATATATATATATATATATATATATATATATATATATATATATATAATATAAAACATTAAAAGCATTTTTTTATTTTTAATAATTTTCAAGAAAGATAAAATAAATATTATGAAATTTGCTTAACAATTTATGTTATATCATATTCCTAATTATTCGTTTAATCGTTGTCATAGGAAGCTCCGTTATTTAATTTCAGACATAAACATTAAAATATAAGACAAATCAGCATGCTGTTCATATGATGATATTAATTTAGATTTGTTTGAAGGTTATTCATAAATGATTAATACATGTATTCTAAAAAAAAACATTTTTTTTTTTCTTTCGTATCTGATTATTGTGATTTTAAAACGTTTTATTTACTTAAAAATGTTTGAATGTTTTTCATACATGTAATAAGACCAATAAAAAAGCTAGCAAATATTCGGAATTTATTTTGTATTACTGGGTGATTTCAAATATATATATATATATATATATATATATATTGTGTTCCAGTTAATCATATTTCTATGTTCAATCATTTAACATTAAAGAAGTGAAAACTTCCTTAGACATGTTTTGCCCTTTTTTGTGAAGAGTGAATTAGATTGAGCCCTCAGATTTCCAATGTGTAACGCTCGGGTAAAGTCGAATGGAGTCGAGGGAAATATTCATCATTTTATCCTCTTTGTAATGAGCTATGATTCAAAATTGTATCTTAACGCGATACCATGTTAGAGGCGAAAAGGGAAAAAATAGAGTCGAAAACCAAATAAAAACGAGTTTTATTGAAGGTATTTATTAAATATCTTAGAAACTAAAAATCGGACCTGCATACTGTAAGCGAGGGAAATGTGCAGGATTCGATCTTATTTGTTATAAGCTATTATTTATAATTTATATTTCATATTATTAATCTCGCTCTTGTTGATGTTTTAACTTACATCGTGTGGTCTAAAGCACATACCTTAGTTGTGTTTTTAAACAATGATTAATACTTTTGATCACTAGCGGATCTAGGATTTAATTTTGGGGGAGGGCTTCAGTCCAAAAGATTTTTTTTCCATAAAAATAACGATAATTACTTTCGGAAAAAAAAGAAACTAACTACCAATATGAAATGGTGTTTAAGTGATTCCTAAAGTCCTTTTAAATGTAATTACACGAACAATAATACTTTGAGAGGTAAGTTTTTAATATTTTTTTCGATAAAACATGATTATATTTAACATTTTGGAGGGGATGGGGGCTTTAGCCCGAAAGCCCCTCCCTCCCTCGTAGATCCGCCCGTGCTTTTGATATAGATATAGAAGGAAAGAGATCTGTTCCTGTTTCCAAATTTCAAGTTTAGAATTTCATTATTTCATTATTTCATTATATGTTCTGCTATGCCAATAAATCATTTAATCGCTTTGGGTCTGGATGAAACAAAACAGGTGTCTCTGGTTATATCAAGCATTTACGCATATTATTTTGGGTTTTAAATATTAGATGATTAATTTCCTGAATAATTTTAAATTGAATTGTATCCTGCCTTATACTCGTATTGTGGATACTATTTCGTCTGATGACTTGGATTCTATTTTTCAACACGATCATTTGCAGTTAATATCTATATTCACTGGGAAGATGGACCTATACTTCACAAATGTCTAATAACATGCAAATATATTATGAAAAGGGCCGGTCTGTAACTGCGTATGTGTGACATTGCCTTGGTCTGTTGGGATCGTCAAAGATAGCGGATTTCTACATACTCTTTGAAGACTTCAAGTTTAAGCCTTTTGTTGTACTGTACTGAGCTTACGAAATTTACTAGAACGCAACATAACATATAAAGAATGGGTTCCCATAATGACACAATTGCAAGATGATCTGATACTGGTTTGGGAGCTTGAGGGGAAGACTCATTCGAAGAGATCACTCATGCAGATACACGGCCCGGAGCCTGTAGTGTAGACATGTTCTGAATTAATGGATTTCTCTGGCCTTGTTGTTTTAGCAAAATGGTCTGACATTATAAGAGGTGGGTGTGTGCTACCATCTATGCTACTATGAAGGACGTTAATAACAGCTTTCCGTTCGGTATACACTGAGTCTCTCATTGAGTCAATCCCTGTCAGTGTTATATAACTTAGTTAATACAGCCATGAATGGCGCGGTCGTTTAAACTGTTGACGTCTTGCGGTAATCGAGTTGCCTGATCGGCCAACTTGCAGCAATCTGCATATTCTTCACAGTGATATAGCATTATTGCACATGCCTCCGGAAGCAAATTGTTTTAAAGTTTCACCAGTTTGGAAAACAGAGTTTAATTGGATAAATTATATAAGTCACATGAAAAAGATCCCATTCATTGAGGGTATTTGAAATTTTAACAACAAGCATTTGTAGTATATTGTACTGGAAGATTGCAAAACAATCTGTTGAGTCTTTGAAACAGTGGTGAATAACTGGACATGTCACCGTTTCATCAGTTGAAGCATCATCAGAAAAGAAAAATCGCATCAACATATCGTCAAAGAAAGTATATTTCTTAATAACATTAACATATTTAGTATAACATATAATAAAAAAAATGAAAACTTTTTACTTCCAATTATTACAATGTATTTAACAACGGATTTGAACTTCATTGAAATATTAATTTCTTAATGTTTCAAGTAATTCACATTTATGAAAGTAATTTACTTTCTTAAGACATTTCTTTTCTACTGATAACTGTAAAGATGCTGTAGTTTATGAATTAATTCGAAGATGACAACGATTAATTTTGTTCACATGTTCTGAACCAAACGTAAACAATCTTAATTAAGTAAAAGTTTGTATAAGCTATCAAACATAAAAAAACCTATTCGACTCATAAAAGCATAACATACCTTGTAGCAAATTGATTGAACATATTTTATTCATACGGGTCAGTGCATTTAGCTCAAATTGTTTCAAAACACTCACTGGATACCGCTAAATAATTTGAGTAATGAAACTTAAAAATCGATTGCATTTTCCAACCATTTGCACGTAATTATTTACCTACCTTTTAACGGACTTCTCGAACACGTAACTGTTTCTGGTGCTTTACCGTAGTCGGGTAAAAATACCAATAAATTATTAATAATTAAGTGTTTTTTAAATTAATAAGTGATTTAATTTTTTTTTATTTTATTAAAAGTATATATTACTATGAATATGAAACAGTAACATAAAATCGCATTGGTACAGAATGTATAAATAATGTTTTAGTATTGTTAAAAAGTAAGTGAATAATAACTTAAAAAGTAATGCTTTTGAATGATCCGAAAACACTCGAAAATGCTGTTGAAATCATAAATGGTTTGTTTTTAACTTGCATTGACACCTTGCGCATAGACAGGTAAAAAAATATATAAACCAATTAATAATTAACACTTAAACGACTTATCTAAATTTTAAAACGAAGACGATTAGCAAAGCTGTTTACTTTATAAAAAAGGCGGCTTGCATGAGGCATGCGATGCAGAGAAATGACTTAATGCTTTCGACAAAAACAGGAAACCACTTAACGCCCGCAGGTTTATTGATTCTTAATTTCTTCATTTATTGAAAGTACGGCATGTCTTTATCTCAGCATCAGTCTTTGTATTGAGGACTGAGTCTCATGTATGAATTCGTGTATTATTTATTAATTAATTTCAATATATTATTTCAAAATCAAACTTCATACTTTTGATGTTTCTTCTAGGAATCGTAATATTAATTTTAAGTGATGTTTTAATTATTTTTTTGGTCTGAAAGTAATAATCATTAACTTAGATAGATTCTTAAATATGACAGTATATTTAAAATGCTCAAAATCCTTTTATTTATTTATCAAAATCCTTTTATTTAAGTTGCAATGTTTCTGTAAATTTAGCAGTTATTTCTAAAGTTGTAAGGTTGTTTTTATTATTACAATAATGTTTTTATTGAATTCATTGCTAATGCGTCTACTCTTATATGATATTTAAATGTTTCGGAAATAATTTATATGAAACAATTTTGCTCGGAAGAGAACCGCAAAAATTTAATGTTTTGAATCATCATGCCCAATTATATAAATTTAAAAATGAAAGAAGAAATAAAAATAATATGCGATTTTTACTACAATATAGAAAGAAAAGTATAACTAAGATCTTCGTATACATATCGTATAGATATATCTATCATCGATAGGAAGACATCTGAACTTTATTAAACTGGAATTCGATAAATTACAACTCGCACGCTTGAAACCTGTCATACATTCCAATAATAGTTACATCTGTCATGTAGATCAGAGAACTATGGTAGAAGAATTAGTGCTTGAAAAGTTCATTAATGATTGTGAAAAAGAACAACAAAAAAAGGAACGTACAACTCGGACGAATGAAAATGAGATATAGGACCACACGCAGTGGTGGTGGTTTGGTTTTAGTTATTGTCAAGACAAAAGGCGAGAGACAATCGGAAACCATTAACTGTAACAATCCTCCAGCTCATTGTCAGTTCGGGGTCCAAGTCACTCCTATCTCTAATCGGCCTCTGTCTCTTCTCACAGTCTTCGGCAAATAATAAATCACTGAGGTTCCTTGTGAACAAAGTTCACCATCAACAGATTAATATTAAATCACTGGAATAGTTGGAAACGTCACACCTCAAAAGAAAAAAAAAAATCTTTTTAGCAAAATATGTATTTATTATAAATACAAGGTTCATGGAACTACTAGGGCCATATGGTTAAGTCATTTGACGAGTTCCTCACTGGTAAGTTGAAAAACACAATGGACTCTGCCAGATGCCTATGTGTAGACAGACAGACAATGCTTTCCCTTTTTATTAGTATTATAATTGTTGTAACCTAAAGGAGAATAGAAGGTCCCAGCGGACCTGACCAGTACTGAAGGGACTGGTGTTTCAGGGGTATTGCCAAGGCAGGGGAGCCCAATAACCTCGTACCGATGTCACCAACCATGGTCTACATGGATCCCACAGCTCAGTCCTCCTTGAGGAGGAAGCAGCGGAGGCTAGTCCGGGAGAACCCGGGCGTCATCATGGCCATCATCAAGGGCGCTAACCAGGCCATCCATGAGTGCCAGTACCAGTTCAGGAACAGGAGATGGAACTGCTCCACCAGGAACTTCCTCAGGGGGAAGAACCTCTTTGGCAAGATTGTAGATCGAGGTAAGAAAAACTCTTATTATGATTTCATTTTGTTTCTTTCGTTATCAGCCAGAAGAAAGAGAAAAACAGCTTTCTTCCAGAGGTAAAATAACACCAGAAAATATATTGCAGAAATATTATTTTAAAATGTTTGAATTTCTAGGCATTCACTTTCTAATTTTTTTTATTAATTTTAGAAGGTCTTGTGTCAGGTGTTACATAAAACCCCATGTTTACCCGACCCCAATAAGATTTATATGTAAATAATCGGTTGTGTAAATGATGGTGATTTACTACACTTCCGATATGCTAATGCAAGGTGTGATCCGATAAGAGTAACACCTGTACGTAGACTCACAAGCTCACTCCCTTCAAAGATAGTTAATATTCGATTAAAGAAAATATGGTCATGGCGGTAGTAAAATAACGCAAGTTGAATTCCTCGAACAGAACATTTGTTTATCGATGGTCTTATGCGCCTATAAAGGTCTTAATTAAGCAGTTTATAAGCCGAAGTGTAGCTAGAGATTTATTTTTGTACATGGAAAATCACTATTTATTATAGCCGTACAGCAGTATAAGTATAGTAATTCATTCGCTACTCCCCAAAGATAATAGCTTTTACAGCCCTATCTGATCAGCTTTAATGCCGTATCTAAGTTGAATTAGAAATGGATAACAAAAGCTATCTTACATCTGCACCGCTATTCCTGTATGCAAGGAACAGTTGTGGCCCATTTGTAAAATTTTCTGGGCTGATGAACTTTATCAACCTTGAAGTTTGGTCATTACCAGAGTTGCCTTTTGTGTATCGATGGCCATCCTTCGTGAGTCACTCGGCCTCAGTTCTGTTTGTGCTAGGCTACACCTGTCCAGATCGGGATCCGACGGACAAATTGTAGCCTATTTGTCGAGGTGTGGCAACCGCTAGAACTGGATGACGTTGCTAGCTCACCAACACAGGCGCCATTCATCCACAGGAAAACAATGAGTTGTACATATCTTGGATGACCTCTCTCGGTGAGGGTGGGGCAATGCTCTGTCTAAACTTCCAGCTTACCCAGTCCGAGTCCTCGGAATCAGATTGCAGTGGATAATCCGAGGTCCTTTAATTGGGTCGAGAAAGTAATTAATTAGTGTGGTAGTTAATAAACTTTTCCATGTTGAGTTGGTTATAACAGTTTATATATTAATAAAACTTATTTAGTAATTCAGCAGTCATGTCTAATTATTCCATCGTAACCATCTTAACTACAATAATTATCTACACTGCATACAATGCGGTAGCACTAATACCTTTTCCGGCTCTCGGGAGCGAAGGATTTTGATGAACGAAATATTTCGGAATTTCGTGGAAGAATATGACGAATCATAATTTCGAAGCTTAAAACCTTACTAAAATTGTGATAAATGGCATTGAAATAATTAGAAGGTTTCAGAAGTCGACGATTCGAGACATGATGAATTGTTTTTTAAATATTCGTCGCGGACAGCATGTTCTAGTATTTTGTAGTATCAAGATGAGCTAGTGTTTAAGCTATAGTGAATTTTTAATCACATAATAATCAAATCGCGGTGAAACTATGATTCATAATACAAGGTTGGCTGTATTTCTTCCACCATTTTTATTTTTATTAAATTGGCAACGTTTCACCATTTTCAAGCTATCTTCAGGGGTTGGGTTTTAGAAATAATTATCTTCACTATCACGTGATATTATAAGTGATTGCTGTATGAAACTAATTGCTAAACTAATAATAAATTAAATCTTACAGATGACTTGAAAATTGTGACTTAGCCAATGAAAGAAAAATAACTATAGCCAAACCTCAAATATTCTGATGATTGTAGCCTCTCTTTGCATATTATTTCTCAAAGCCATTTTTCGTCGGTACGACATGTCTTCGTTAATTCTTCATAAAATTCAATGATTGAGCCATCGGTTTGAAGGATTTCTTCTCCTTCAGGAGCCAAAAAAAAATCTCATCCTCCAAAATAAACATGAAAAAAGTTATAAAGAAAAGAAAACTTTATTTGCGCATAACTCAAAAGTGAAATAAATCATCAAAAATCGGACCATATTAAGCAAGAGGTAATGCTAATTATAATTTGTTCTCATTTTTTATTTTATTATTTTTAATTTAAACTAATCCTTCCTGAAATAGATATATTTCATTTATTTATTTTCATATTATATTGACATATTATGCAGATGTCCGATATATTATGAAAATTATTTGCACAGATCAACCCAAAAACTATGCAAGTTATTAGCAAGTTTTTATGCACTCTTGAGACTATATCAGAGTAATTTAAAAATATAAATATTTTTTAATTATGGCGATCGACCCTCCCCTTTTTTCACTCAATAATAATAGAGGGGAGGCGTTTCTCTCCCTTCCCTCCTAATATTACGAAGAGCAAAATAAAATAAAAATTCATAACAGTTAATCTATATGAATGAATAAAATATGTATACCAAAATTAGTTAAGAAAATAGAAAAACTCGACTAAATGCCTAACAAAATAGTCCGAGAGCCCATGCTTAAGGTCTAGAAGTAAGTACGCGCAAGTATATTGCCACTCCCTATCTTCCGATTATTAAAATTTTAATTTATATTGAATGATAATTATATGTAGCAACATATCCTACGATTTTATGATTGATTGACTAATATTGAGAATAGAAAGTTTGCTTCTATGAATAAGAGCACCAAGTATATAACTATTTTTTACTTAAGATTTTCATTTGTAAAGGGCTCCTTTTCTAAAAACATGCCCGGGATAACTTTAAAGAATAGATTGTCCCATGTTGCTTATGTAAAAGTGAGTCATGAAGAACTGGGCCTTTGATGAATGCAGACACTAAGGTCAACTGGTGCAGGCAGAGGAAGCCCCCGGGAGAGGACAATGGCTGTAATGGCTGTGTAATAGCTGCAAACCGGGATATCTGATGAGAGTGGATTAGCACTACAGTGGCACAATGCTCGCCCATCCAGCTGCTGCCCGGTAACCCGAGATATCATCGAGTCCGCCTCACTTTTTCTAACAAATATCTCACCCCTCCTTAGCTCTGCCGTTAGTCTCTTTATCCCTCGGACCACCTGGTCCGAGATGTCATCGCACTGTCCCAATCCGATGAGGATGATTAAAGAGAACTGGTCATTTCTAAAGAGACCCAAGAAGTCATTGAAAGCAGCAATTGGGGCGCTAGAGTACAGAAATGTCTATTCATGAGATAAATTATTATGGAAAAAATACATGTATATATAAAATTATTATTTTTTTTTATCTTACTTTGAACGGTTTCTTTATCTATAAAGAAGGATTCAGTTCATATTTGGTAAATAGAGGAACTCTAACCACGAATAGTCTTGACTTCAATACTTTGTTATGAACTACTGTTTTTCCCTTAAACGATAATTTAATTAACACTAGGTTGAGCATCAGGCCTCTTAACTCTAGTATCGATTTACGGCTGAGGTAGCAAAATAAATAATTATCCGCTATAGCCTTACACTTCCCGATCTGGGGAATAGGTGGACAGTGCCTCAATCGATTACTATGACACAACCTTTATATCAACTAATATAAAATACACATACACAGACATATATATATATATATATATATATATATATATATATATATATATATATATATATATATGTACTCACACTAACGATATTTGCTGAATCTTTTTCAATGAGAATGTGTAATAAATATTATGTAATACTTTACTATATACATTCACTAAACTGTAGCATGCAACGAAATAATTGAATTAGAAAATTCCGTTTTAAAAAACAATATCAACAAAAAAGTGTATGCTTATTGAGTTATTCGGAATTTAATTTTACCAACCCCCGTAACTTTTTTTCTAGCTTCTTTTTGTTGAAGTATGATACATATAGATAAACTTAAAGGGTGTCGAGAAAATAACTTTAGCGAAATTTCATTGGAATCGGTACATTCGTTTAGGCGCTACAGTCTATAGCAACGTAGGTTTTTCGGCCGCTATTTTGAAAGTAAAAGGCGGATAGCGATGTCGATGAAGGAGGATCATCCTCGGGCAAGCTCTGATTTTATATCTAAATTTGAAATAAAATCAGTTTGGTAGTTTCGGAGGAAATGTGCTGACGGCGGACGGACAAAAAAATTGGTATTCGTTTTTCGGTAAATTGTAGCAAATTCTGTTGTGTAGCAATAGTAATGGGGGCTCATCAACCTAGTTATCGAAACATATGTAGGACATCAATTGATATCCAAACGGGCTTGAAAAGCAACAGAAAGTAACGGAGACATCTTAACTTGTAGGAGAGGGTCGCCTGATCTGGATAGAACGAAAATAGTCCAGTTTTATAGCAACTAGGGAGATAGGAGCGGAAGCATGTGACCTTTCCGAGATGCCACAACTTGCAGGAGCCTATTCACGTCTCGGCCGGCTACATTTAGGAAAAAAATGAAGGGTTAACAACACTTTCGAGTGTGACCTTTTCAGTCCGAGTAAGTGACTGCGAGTATCGGCACTCGGGCAGCTACATGCCGATGTCAGCCTTCTCCTTAACCCGTTCATTTTTTACTTCAATAATCCATTAGAATTATCTTCTTATCGGTTTTCTTGATTGTTTGCTCACACAAAAGAAAATGCAGGAGGGAATATCATCAGGTCACTTATTAAAATAGTTGCTCAGTTATTGTCAATATCTTGTTAAAAGAGTGTCGGTTCGGTCTACAGATTTTTGGTTCTTAATCTCAATCTTCGCTGAACAACGACTCTGAAAATTCAGCAACTTATATTTACTCCTGTTGTTTAAAAAATATATATATATGTGTGTGTGTGTTTGTGTGTGTGTGTGTGTGTGTGTGTGTGTGTTTGACCTACCGGAAATAGTGACACTCTACTGGCTACTTTTCCTGACGATACCGCAACCCTCAGCTCAGCTAAAAATTCTGTTAGAGCATCCATTACTCTTCAAAACCACTTGAACGATGTTGCTGATTGAGCTACAAGGTGGAAA